TACTATGCACAGTGAACTGTCTCTTGTTATGTCCTGTGTTGTTAAGTGATGTCCAATAAAATATCTTGTATATTTGTTAAGTGAGAATGTGATTGGACGTGAGTGATTTCATATCATTTTATGCATGGGCAATTTACATTCCTTTTCTAAGGCAGAAATCATTTTCAAACTTTGCATTATAAAGTTAATTTCAGTTGTTCTTCATAGAACATTTTGAATACTGTATTTATCAAAATCAACTTTACGTTTGTTTTTTATAGAACAGATTTGCTATTATTTTATATAATAGAGGTCAGCCAGTTGCACCTGGTAAGATATGTTTTACTTTAAATAACTTAAAGAAATGTATTGAAATGTATGAATTCAATAGTTGGAATTGTTTGAAATATGAAATGTTGAAATGATATTGATACTGAATTTGTATTTTAATTTGTGTTTTGTATTTCATGTATTTATAATTGATTATTCATTTTATATGTTTCATTTTCACATCATCAAAATAAATTGAAATTGAACACCCAGTCAGAGTTGGTCATGTGTTCAACCCAAACGTACCGTACTCTATATGTTTCACCTTCTTTATAATTCTGATTTCCCGAGAAAGCTAGTACTCTATATGTTTCACCTTCTTTATAATTCTGATTTCCCGAGAAAGCTATTTTTGTATTTTCTGATCGCAAGATCAGTAAATACATAGCTAACATCCACGGTCTAACACAAATTTTCCTAACAGACCTAACAACGCAAAGTAGTTCTCACTCAGAACTGCTTAAAAACCAGCAATTTAAAATAAAGAATAATTTTTAATGTATGCATTTAACGAATTACAGTGCATTAAAAGTTTAGAGTAGTCAATAGAAATATGAGGTTACAATCACAAATTTCGCGGATGAATATCTTTTTTACCCAATGAAAAAGGTTCGGCTATTTCCGTAAAGCTTAATCAATGAAAATGCTATTTTTAGCTATGTCGATTACCGAATACTCCAGAGCGTAGTACACATAAATCTGACTGTCAAGTAGTGGAATATATACATGTCGTACTGTTTTGGCGAGAAGATTTTCGCTAAATTATTTTCATCAGTGTTAAACAACAGGTTTATAGTGAAGAAAATACCTCGAAATTAGTAAGGATGGAAATTCTCAATTTAGAATTACAATGTATTTGTTATTATTCAAGCGACATATGTATTACTTCACCGTGGTGCAGAGGTAGCGCGCTCGTTTAGGGTGTGAGAGGCCCAAGGTTCAAGTCCTAGTCGAGGCAACTTTTTTTTTGAAGTGTCTCTTTTAAGGAAGTAGCCACGATATGCAAGGATAAAGTATGGCCGTCATAAAAAATGAAGATGATTTTTTGGTGCAACTCTAGTCATGCAAAATTCCATATGTATCAATCTCAAACTGTTATAGACGCAGTCGCTGCGTAAGATTAATTATAGTATATAAAATAAACTTATATAGGAAAATACATACAGATAGTCAGTATGATTTAGATTGCAAAGATCAGAAAATACCACAGAGGTTGCAGCCCTTTGATTAGCCATGCAATCATCAAGCCAGTTTTAAATAGGCATTACGAAGAAGTATCAAGATACCGTTTTATACGAAAGTTAAACAAATTGTTGATTTTCGTTAGAAAAAAAATGTTTGATGCAATTTCTAACAAATTACTTGAAAAGTAAGTGTCAATTTTTAATGGGCAAGATTGTTTTGCCAGTTTACCTGTCGGCTATATGGACAACGTCATGTTGTTCTCGAAATCGTGAAAATTACCTACCATGCAAGTTTTCCCGAGGTTAAAATTAGTACCCATATCGCTTTCAAAATTATGAAATTATGAGATTAATGGCTGTGTGAGTAGTCACTAGAAATAAGTTCGTATATGGTCACTGTCAGATCTAAAAGGGAAAAGTTATTTAGAGCTGAATTTAATCAGATTGAGTAAAAATTCATTATCATGTATAAAGAAAGTACAATGTCATTATTTACAAATTACATTATTTACATCTGTTATTAAAACATATAAAATTGTAACTTAACATATTTGAAATTTTACACATTGTTTTGAAAATATGGCCTTTTTAGAAAATGATTATATTTATTATAAGTTTTTGTGTTTAAATAAATTAACATGCATATTTATTCATTTTTTTAAAGGATTTTTTTTTCATTTTTCGGCTGCAAAACACTACTCCCTCCCTTTGTGTTCATGATATTTTTAACAAATTATTGTTTGCCGTATTTTTTTCGTAGTATAATATTTTATTAAAGTGTAATAGTTATAAATGTTTTCATTTTTAGCTCACCTTGCACAAAGTGCAGGTGAGCTTTTAGGATGGCCAACCAAATGCGTCCGGCGTCCGTCCACATTTTATTCAAACGACATCTTCTACAATACCACTTGGCCAATATTAATGAAACTTGGTGTATGAAGCTCTATCAAGATTGTTCAAAGAATGCCATTCCATACTAAACTCTGGTTGCTATGGCAACTAAAAGAAAAAACTTAAAAGTTCTTGTACTTCAAAATGGAAAGGGATAAAGCTTAGATATTTCTCACAAGGCATAAGCTTGATAGTTCCTACAAAGTATATTCAAATTATGGTCTAAAGTTGAAAATTGGTATCTGTTTTGGGAGTTAAAGGGTTTTTTTATTGAAAGGTTATATAGACTTTCTTTGTAGGGATAAATTGGGATAGTGTATCTTGTATTTTTTGTCTTAACATACATTGTTATGAAGATTTTTCTGTTAGAGCATAAGAAGGATGAAAAGTTTGTTGAATGTGAATGTTAATTCAAAACAGAGTCAATTAGAATAGCACAAATTTGAGAGCTACAGTGAAGTTGATTTCCCCATTTAATAATGGATTCTTCCATTATTTCGTAACACCACCATCAAAAAGAAAGACTGTGTCATTTCCGAAATACAATGTAAAATATTTCGGTTCTTGACAATGACTTGCACATTTTATTGTGTAAGATATTGCACAAAGAAACGAAAGTGAACAAAAAATGTTGTTTTTTTTTCACAAAAACTAATTGATTAAGATAAAAGTTTAATTTACAGTACGGATATTACTTTGTGTATCCTTCCGGTTTGCGGGAAAAATCATATATTTCAACATCGTCTACACCGCTTCTACTGATGAGCGGATTATGTCATAATATTTCATTCTGAGAACAAACATACGATTCAAATCATTAAATAATGCATACCAATCAGTCCATAAAAAAACTTTGCCTCAGAAAACATCTGTATCAATCTGACCTCGAGTTGAGATTATAAATTATACTAAACCGGAAGTACATGACGAAACGTCCGCCAATAAAGTAAATTGAGAAATTTTGTAACATAAACTCGTATTTCATAACAAAGAAGTGATGATGAATACAATTATCGGTGTGCTTCGTTGAAACAGGTATTTTGTTAACTATTTGTGAAGTATTAAGGCATGACATATAGTATTTATGTAAATATCCCTTCCCGACGTTCCGTGTTATGATTTATAAAATTATACATGTACACGTGTGTTATTGACCTCAATAAATGTAAGTGAATATGGAACAATTATTACGGTAATTATCCATGGTGCTAGCAATACTTAATTATCTTTATCATATTGTTAACTAAGCAAGAAAATTACGTAATTTTAAAATAACTTAACCTCACAATATAATCAATTTAAACTTGAAAATCTTCTCAAAATGACTTCCCAAACAGTAATTTTTGAATTCATTTTTGAAACATGAAAATGGTTCATGTAGAGAAATAAGAGAAGACAAAATTGAATTGACTCATGAAAATTTTGGTCAAACACTCTGCCACGTGAAATTCTGACCTTCCTGAGATCCCTGCTGTTTGTTGTTGTTGTTTTTTTTAGAAAGGGTGTTCTAATATGATAAACCACAGATGCTTGAGCCAACATGATACCCCTGAGTAAACACTATCAAAAAATTTTTTTTAATATTTAAACATTAATGGTATATCTGTTACAACTATAATACTGGTTTTCGAAAAAAATTTACATAATTATATGAAAAAAATACTGTTTACCATCATGTATTGAGACTTGATTCCGGTCAGACAGGTTGGGCCATCTTTCGTAACAGTTTTCTCAGCTACTACTTATCAGAGCCTCATGATATTTAGTATGCAGCATTAACACATTGTCCCATACCATGATATTCGATTTTAGGTCTGTCGCTCATCCACATCATGTTTACTGACTTAGTTAAATTCATAATAATGGTCAATGGTACGAAGTTTTCGTAACCATTTTCTCATTAGTTAAATTCATAATAATGGTCATTGACAATGGTACGAATTTTTCGTAACAATTTTCTCAGCAACTACTTATTACAGCCTCTTGATGTTTGGTATACAGCATTGATATGATTTCAGGTATGTGGCTCATCCACTTTCAGTTTTCTGACCTAGTAAAATTTTCGGCATTAATTGTAAATGGAAGGAAATTTCTTAGCAACTACATATCACAGCCTCTTGATATTTGGTATTCTGACTGCAAAGTTCAGGTCTATCGCTTATCTACTTCCTGTTTACCGACTTAGATAAATGTTCGATATAAATGGTCAATGGTATGAAATTTTTGTAACATCACAGCCTCATGAGTCATGTTATTTGGTATACAAATGCAACCTGGCCATTTTTGTCTTTTTGTCATTTTTGTTGTTAATTATGATGTAAACACGCTACATGGAGTGTACTTTTTAGCAACATGTACTTTAACGATAAGAAAAAAAGAGGTATTTCTAAACACTTGTTAGCATTCTTGTTGCTGTCGGCCAAAGAAACATTACATTTGACACTAACCTTTAAATGACATTAAAGAATTTTATAAACCTGTTGCATGTTTTTTAAAAAAAAGTACTTTATAAGATCTATTCCTTAAGGTGAGCGATATAGGGCCAACATGGTCCTCTTGTGTCTATAATAACTAAAGGTTTTTTAATTACAACTTAGTACGTTCATTTTTCGTTTTTATCATATAGTTTTTTTTTATATTTTTATAACAATAACTTCAACCGGTTAAAAACAACAATAAATGTACATGTACATTAAAATGCACCGCAGAAAACTGCGGCACTAACACTTTAACCCTTTCCCTCATGAGCATATTGTGAAAAATGGCCGTTTTCATTGAAAAGCCTCCAGTTACAAGTTCAAACTGCTATGGAACTATGAACAATGCTTCAATACTAATCAAACTTTGCACAAATGTTGATTGGACCATTGCCTTTGTAACGACATGCTCGGTCTTAAATTTACTGTTACCATGACAACGAGGGGACATCTAAAATCGCCGAAAATCACTATTTTGCCTTGATTTTTTCCATCAAAATTTATTTTAAAGTGCTGCAACTTCTCAAGGGATTGAGGTAGAGTCAAACACTTTTCAGCGTTGGTTTCACGTTACCTTATGATCGACCTGGGGTCATTTTAGCCTCTCACAAGTCCAAAATTTTCTTGGAGATGAGGGGGAATACCGCCCCCTTCAAACCCCCCAAACAGAAGGGGACACGAACCCCTTCTGGCAACTCCCTGATGTATCTTTTGGATGGGGGCGGCACCGAAAAAGTGCTCACTTTTTTTAAGCAACCTTTCTTAAATGAAAACGTGTGTTTGGGGCCAAAATAGGACATTTTTCCCACTAATTGAGGCCTAAAAAAAGGGGAGGGTCGAAAGAGCGTTTTTTCGCGTATATATGAGGTAAAGGGTTAACAAAAAATAATGAAAAACTTTGGAATTACCCTAAATCTAGTTTTTCAATGTTAACATGTAGCCTTTTACCTAATTTTGGTGAAAAATTGTTGTTTTGTAACATTTTTATTTTTTTTAGTTAACAAAAAATAATGAAAAACTTTGGAATCACCCTAAATCTAGTTTTTCCATGTTAACATGTAGCCTTTAACCTAATTTTGGTGAAAAATTGTTGTTTTGTAAAATTTTTAATTTTTTTAGTTAACCCTTTCCCTCGTGAGCATATTGTGAAAAATGGCCGTTTTCATTGAAAAGCCTCCTGTTACAAGTTCAAACTGCTATGAAACTATGAACAATGCTTCAATACTAAGCAAAATTGGCACATATGTTGATTGGACCATTGCCTTTGTAACAACATGCTCGGTCTTAAATTTCCTGTTACCATGACAACGAGGGGACATCTCAAAATTGCCAAAAATCACTATTTTGCCTTGATATTTTCCATCAAAATTTATTTCAAAGTGCTGCAACTTCTCAAGGGATTGAGGTAGAGTCAAAGGCTTTTAGCGTTGGTTACACGTTACATTATGATTGACCTGGGGTCATTTTTAGCCTCTCACAGTTCAAAATTTTCTTGGAGATGAGGGGGACTACCGCCCCCTTCAAACCCCCAAACAGAAGGGGGCAACCCCCTGATGTATCTTTTGGATGGAGGGCGGCGCCGAAAAAGTGCTCACTTTTTTAGCAACATTTCTCAAATGAAAACATGTGTTTGGGCCCCCAATAGGACATTTTTTTCACTAATTGAGGCCTAAAAGGGGGGGGGGGGTCGAAAGTACGTTGTTTCGCGTACATGTATATCTATATATATATATTAAGGGTTAAACTTAAACAATTACATGTTTACTGTATAACTGTTTGAATCCTTCTATCTCAAAAATAATTGTAACAAAGGTTTAAATAATTAACCAATAAAAAATGACCCTCAAACACGAAAATATTAACCAATAAAAATACATTTTATTAAATATAAAATAAATTTAACCAATAAAAATGGTTTAATTAAACTAATTAACACGTCAGATGTTAAAAGTTAGCGGCCCTTTAGTTACTTTTTTTAAGTTAAACAAATAATTAAGTAAAAAAACTTTAAATAAATGTTGTAAATAAAATTAATAATAATAATTACGTTGTTATACATGTGACGTAAAAAAACATAAATGTGTCAGACACGTAAATTGCAATAAACATGTCAGGGACCTGGCTAATTAATAATTTACATATTTCTAAATTTCAATAATTAAAAAAACTTTTTATAACATAAACAAAAAAATATAATAATTTTACAAAAAGTATTTTAAAAAAATTAAATGAAAAAAATACAGCATAACAAATGAAACAAAAAAAAAACCAACATGATATTCATTTTCTGTAGTATCACGAAATGGACAAATTATTTCATCTATTGACAAACCATCGTGCCTGCCAGTTTCAATTCTAATGGGAGCAACCTACACCCAAACTTACAAAATGCGGACCTGTGTCTAGACCGAAGAATTAAATTGCAATGCGCGACTAGCACTCTGAGCAGCAGCTTTAACAGTTATTGAATAATCGAGATGCTCGTGTAATATGACACCTAAATAAGTATACCTATCAACTATGTTTATACATTATCACCATATTTAAAGGCAACAGTCGTACGTAGAACAGCTATCAGACGGAAGTGAATAACATTAAAATGAGCCGCGTCACGACAAAACCAACATAATGGGTTTGCGACCAGCATGGATCCAGACCAGCCTGCTCCGCGCACTCTGATCAGGATCCATGCTGTTATAGCAAGTAGAGAAACTGATAGCGAACAGCATGGATCCTGATCATACCATGCTGGTCGCAAACCCATTATGTTGGTTTTTGTCGTGACGCGGCTCAATTTTCTTTTCAAAGGGTAAACAGTCATATCATTCAACGAACACAAGTCATTTAAGGCACATTTAACAATATCCGTAGATCTTTAGCATTATCGGCTTATATAGCGATATCATCAGCGTATAACATGTTAAAAGTTTTTCCATTTACCAATATTAATACCAAAATCAAAAGATTTACACATGTTTTATAATTTAAAATAAAATAATCCTTCTCACCCTTTCAAATTTCCGGATTTGGGAATTATGATTTAATTAAAATATTCCAAATTTTATCGTTCGGAATTCAGAATTTAAAATTTCCGGAATTCAGAATTATGAATCCCATTTAAAACAAAAGAACACATTTTTGGACTCTGGATAGTGTTCGGATTTCAAAAGTTTTCGGAATTCAGAAGTTACACTGTATAAGGGATAAACGAATTTTGACTGCCGGCTTTGAATGTTATTTGTCTTCGAAAAGTCAACTTGGCTCTTAATACGATGTCAGTTTTATATACAGATCGTTTAAAGTAAAAAGGTGTATTTGAATTTGGCGGTAGCAAGGCATTTGCTGAATATCAATGTAAGAACCTATTGACCAAATCCAAAGCACGATTCTACGATTTTAAATTTCAGAGCTGTCTTCTTGTACAGGTATTTCTGTGGAAGTTCCGTCACTGTTGAATTCAATGTTATTATAAATGGTTTTGTTAATTTGATTTTGAGGTTGAAGGGAATAAGCATAATCGTATTGAAATTTGGACTTCGTATCAGAGTATTTGATTCCAGCTTCCAGGCAATCTGGTGAATTCTTAGGTTCTATTTCATTGTAATTGTCAGCATCGTTTGTTACTGCAAGATAATCAGATGTTGGGAGTTCTGGAAGCTTTCGGAACATTGCACATTCAATTATGGGAACAGGTTTTCTTTCAGTAAGTTGTTGTGTGCAATTTGCTGATGAATCCTGAAGATCTATCTCAGCATATGTGTACGGGTCGTCTGGTGCTGTTGCATTATCTAATGTCGGGGTTTCGTGGAGAGTGTCTTGCTGTTGGTTCCTTTGATATTTTCGCCTTAAAATATATTTAAAGGTGAATCCGTTAATAAAGGTAAATTCGAGAAAGAACTATGGTTTATATGGCTTATTCCTCACATTGAATTTCAGTGGATATTTTTGGTGTTTCTATAATACTTTATGCAATAAAATTGTATAAATTCGCTGAAATTTTGTAAGCTTGTTTGATGTTTGTTTGTTTGAATAATTGGGTTTTACGTGACACCTTCACAGTGTAGGTCATATGGCGCATTCAAGCTTTACTGGCGGAGGAAAATCTCAGGTACCCTTTCGTGCATTATTTAAGACTTGAACAGGCATCTGAGTAGAACCACCGGCGTTCCGTAAGCTAGCTGGATAGCCTCTCACATGAAATACTCTAAAATCATTGTCGGGATCGAACAAACAGCGATGAGGGGCACAATGTTCGAAGATAACGACTTTAACCATAGAAATATTCACCACCATGGGATACCGTGTTGCGCACATAAAGCAGGTCTCTAGAAGAAATGTCAAAGGTATTGAAAAAAATGAGAATAAAGTTCAACAAGTAAAGTCCACGTTCACAGACGCTGCCCCGACACAATCAATTCACACTGGTCAGTCGGGCATCCAGAGGTCACCGAAATTAAAATTGGGAAAATGCTTGCCCAGATCACACATTTTACGCGTATAAAAGAATTTTTATATAACTTGTCACAAATGTTTATCATTGCAAGGCGGTCAAAGTGCTGATAAGATATGAAGAAGTATATTGGGACCATTTAGTCGTCATTTATTAAAGATGGTCATAGTCAAGACTATGGCTGTGACACATTTAATTAAGGTCACTATAATTATATATGCAAAAACAAGGTCACTAAAGACGATGCAGTGTCTAGACAATGTCTGCAGGATATCTCCTACACCAACGGAGGAATCTTTAAGATTTACATCCCTGCAAACAGAGTCAAGGCCACACATATAGATCAAAATTTTAGATAAAAATGTGAAGATGTGGATAGGAACCATTTAGCCATAATTTATCGAGGGATAGTACAGAAATTGGTACTTTCACTACTTTAGGTGTGAAAAATGTCGTTTATATTTGCAAGGTCAATGTCACTAAAGATGTTGAGATACCCAAATATTTCCCGAGCATATCACCAACATGCTTGTTCATGTTACTTATATAACTTTTCATTGCCTCTCATGAACCAAGTCTCAACCCAGTTCAAATGTCAAGGTCTCACTTAGATCTCTTTGAAATATGTTTCTCCGGAGCAAAACTTACACATTCATCAAGGGAAATTAATATAACTTGGCTCAAATTTTCATAATTGCAAGGGTGTCGCGCATAAGATCGAGATCCCTGCAACTAAGGTCAAACTCACCCATAGAGGTAAAATTTCAGACGAAAATATGTATGGGGATGATCTTGCTTGCCACACTACTAATCGTCAAGATTTTATGACGGGTTAATTTTGTGACAATGTTGTACTTGTTTAAAGAATGTATTTTACTCATATTGGCGAAAGTTTTAAAGCACTATTACAATTTCGTTACGTAGACATGTAAGCTATTATTGATTAATAGATTATCGCGACAATGGCAATTCTAGCTAACATTTGATAAAGATGTTGTATATAGATGAACTTTAATAATAATTTTTATATAAAACGCCTTTTTTTTGCATGGATTAAACTGTTGTATATGTATGAATGTTATTTGGTTGAACCTTAACAATATATTTACACTGTATTTATTGATTACCATCTGATCCAGATAAAAATAATATAAGTTCCTGCAGCTAGAAGAAAACCAGCAGATATAGCAGGTATAAGAGTCTTGTGATTTCCACTGTTATTTTCTTCATGAATACCTGGAAAAAATAATCCGGTGTTAAACTGCCAATAACCATGGTTAGGGACTACTTGCATATGCGGCTGTTATGTTTTATCCCTCGATTATATAGTTTACAAAGCCTTTTAAAACAACAATAAAACATTTTTATTTATATTTTCAGTTCTTACATGTTTTCTTTTCATACAATATCTAAATAAATAATATATAACAAACACTTACGCCACAGATTTGATCCATATTAGTTAATAATTGGCGCCAATCCGTAAGCATCCTAAGTATATAACTCATTCATAAACGCTGACGTCATTTCAAACATACAAGAATGATAAATTGGGCACTGATGTAAACACAATACAATCTATTCTAAGACGTAAGGTTTTATTGTTGAAAACTTGATAACATAACTTTTTTTCTTATTATTTCTTTTGTTTAATAATTTCTATATCTTAATAAAAGTAGGGTGCGAAATCGAACAGCATTATAATACGAAAATCGGTACCGGAAGTTATTTCCGCTTGAAAAAATAACGTTTGTGATCTTCCTTATCTTATCTTGTTAGAATTGAAATACTTTCGTTATGAGTCGTTTTTATCGGCTATTGAACACCGGTTTTGCCGTTTTGATGCGAAAAAATTAACCACTCATGCCTACGGCCTTTGTGGTCAATTCCTACGCATCCAAACTCCAAATCGGTGTTAAATATCCTATAAACACGGCTGAGGCCGATATTATTTCTTAATTATATTGGTTTACATATATGGAGTCACGTAAAAAAGAAAAAATCAGAATCCCTAAAAAAGCCAAACACGGCAAATCGAACATTTTGCAGGCTCAGTTGGATTGAGTCCGTTCATTGTCGATAATGAAAAGTGCAAGTGCAAAACTCTTTTTCATTTTTGATAGAATTCCTTGCCATTTTCATACCGTATAGTTATATTTCGTTTTTCGCGAATGTAAACGAACGTCATTTTATCAACCTTTTGCTTTGACATAGGTTTATCTGTTAGAACGCGTTGGTTTATCAGGTCATGTCAAAATTTTAAAGGAATTACACAAGATATATCTGTTAGCGATTCGCAGAAAATCATGGAAGGTACATTGAAAAATCAAAGGGCTGCAAGCTCTGTGGTATTTTCTGATCTGTGTAATCTAAATCGTACTGTATATCTGTATGTATTTTCCTGTATTAGTTTATTCATCTTGCAAGGCACCAGAGTTTGATACATACGGAATTTTGCATAACTACAGTTGCATCAAAAAATCATTTATGTTCATTTTTTTATGACAGCCACACTTTATCCTTGCATATCATGGCTACTTCTTGAACAAAGAAACTTAAAAAAGAATTTAAAAAAAATGTTGCCTCGACAGGGATTTGAACTCCAGACCTATCACACACGAAACGAGCGCGTTACCTCTGCACCACGGAGAAGTTATAAAATCATTGCCTGAATAAAATCCAGTCATTCTAAATTTAAAACTTCCATTGCATTTCGGGTTTGTAATCCTTATTAATTTCGAGGTATTTTGTTCAGGATAAACCTGGTGTTTAAAATTGAAGTAAATATTAAACGAAAATCTTCTCGCCAAAACAAATCCGACATGTAGAATCTATATATTCCACTACTCGGCTGTCAGATTTATTTGTGTAGTATACGGTAATCGACATCGCAAAAAATAGCATTTTCATTGATTAAAATCATATTCATCCGCGTAATTTGTGATTGTGCATTTATTGACAATTCTATAAGCCAACGCTACTTTTAACCTTTGAATGCGTTGTAATTTGTTGGATCATTATTGTTTTTACCACAATCATGCAGCTGCCACTTGGATTCTTTACTTATTGGTACCCTTTTCACTTTAATACTCAGCGGTAACACATAGTTGCGTAATATTTTCCTGGTTAAGGGAAGAATTTGACAGATAATTAATGTTTTGAGAAAACCCCCCGTTCGTATATCACGTGACCCGCTAATGGCCGATTTGACCCGCTATTGGCATGTTTACAAAGGGTTTGGAAACGGTAAATACACCACGATGCATTCAAAATATGAATTCACAAGAAGTATACAGTAAAAGGGTAATAAAATACTTCTAATCATCATACATTTATATATGAATCTAAAAATCGTTCGTTCATAAACACTAAAAGTTTCGCTAGTGACCCGTTATTGGCCAACTCACTGTACTTGTAACAAAATAAAAATATTTCTTTCTTTTAAATCGCTAGTTTTAAGCTGTTTTGAGAACTACTTGTTGTTAGGTTTGTCGTGAAAATCTGTGTCAGAGATTGAATGTCCGCTATGTATTTACTGATCTCCAATCAGAAAATACAAAAAGGACGCGTTTTGTTAATTACACCAGATATATCTGTTAGCGATTCGCAGAAAATCATGGAAGGTACATTAAAAAAAAGCACGCGTTTTGTTAACAAAAAAAGTCAAAATTTGACTTGCACCGGTTGACAAAATTTCGATATTCAAATCTAGTACGTTTTGATAGCTAATTAGGAAGTCCAAAAGACTATGTTTATCAAATAATGCGGCGTTTCATTTATGAATGGACAACCGATTTATCCGTGAAAATTATATTTGATAATTTGGTACCTCAATTGTATTTTTGCCTGCAATATTGACATTTCCAGGGCTGATTAGATAAAAGCAAACAGAAATTGATAAAAAAAACCTTAAAGTTTAGGAGGAATCAACAGCAAAAACTTCCTTCAATTCATTCAAATAACCAACTATCAACTCAAAATTTTTGTTTCATTTTTACATTCTGAAAAATAAACAAGCAATAACCGCCGCCTTAAGCAATATGAAAAGCAATGACAGTCACTAGCCCAAAGAATAAGTAAACAACCAAGTTAGTTCGTAAGACAGCCTTTCAACAATTCAATGTTTTCCAGATTGCTAGTCGCTTTTTTAATCTTTATACATCTGTCAACATTTTTTTAGTCAATAAGTTTTCTTTCTTATTAATAGATGTATGACTAACAAATCCAAATGAAATCCCAATTATTTTCCTCACGAGAAATACACATTTTAAAAATGGCGACCGCTTATATTAAACAAAGCCTGGTCAAATATAAACTTTCGCCGAAAATAACGACAATAAGGTCGAATGGTGTGACTTTTTCTTCTACTGGAATTATTTGATTTTATAATAGCAACAAGCTACCATTGATATTTCTGAATAAAATAGATAATATCATCACCATATAACGTTGAATTTTTAAATTATTTTTACTTGAAATACTTTTTATAATATTTATGAGGAAATCGTCTGAAATTGAGGGCTACCAGTGGGAAAAAAAACAGATTTTTGATATTCGAGTTAATATTGATGAAATTTAAAAATTGTATTCAAGCATACGTCAAAAAAATGAAATGTGTTAAATCTCGTAAACTATTGAGACTACTGTTCGATGAAATAAAATTTTGTATAACACTTAAACAAAGAAATATCCTCTACATATCTTTAAAATGGAAATTCAATGCCAACTTTTTAGGAAACGCTTACTATAGGCTTCCTAATGTGAAAAAATGTTATGCTGGAAAGAGGAGAATGACTTACCGCCAGTTCTGAACAATATTATTTCGCCGAATGTCGGACATTCCGGAAGACCGCTGTCTGGACAAGTTAAGTTACAGACCGCTTCCTCAATATTCGACTGCATACTGTTGCCGCAAAAGCATTTCAAACCATTACCGTCGTACTTGAATAATAAAAATAATAAAAAATACTTTGCTAAGAAATTCTTAAACACTTACAATTTTAGGTACGTAACGCGAAAATGATTAGAGACTTTTAATGAGATTGTTTAACCCATTACTTCATGAGCTTTTTTGTGGAAAAATGGTAAAAACCGTTGTTTTCATTGAAAAGTATCCCGTTTACAAGTTCAAATTTGCTGCAAAACTTTAAAAACTGCTTCAATACTAATCAAACTTGGCACAAAATGTTGACTGGACCGTTGCCTTTGTAACAACATGCTCCAGGCTTAAATTTCCTGTTACCAACGAGGGGACATCTCAAAATTGCAAACAAATAATTATTTTGCGTTGAGTTTATCTATCAAAATTGATTTCAAAGTGCTCCAACTTCTCAATGGATTTAGATAGAGTCAGATGCTTTTCAGCGTTGGTTACACGTTACCTTATGATTGATCTGGGGTCATTTTTAGCCTCTCACAAGTCAAAACTTTTCTTGGCGATGAGGGGGACCACCGCCCCCTTCAAACCCCCAAACAAAATGGGGCACATCCCCCTTCTGGCAACTCCCTGGACTGTATATTTTGGTTTGGGGGGGGCGCAGAAAAAGTGGTCACTTTTTAACAACAATTCTCAAACGAAAACATGTATTTGGGGCCCACTATTTGAGGTCTTAATGAGGGGGGGGGGCGAAAGTGCGTTTTGTTTCGCGTATATATGAGGTAAAGGGTAAAGCAAACAGTAAATGTAGCTGCTTTAGAAAAATGTGTTAAAGATATACTTGGCTCATCCTTGAGTAAAGTTATCTTATTATTATTACTTTTACCTTAATTTTATATAATCAATATGTTTAATGAAAGCTATGGAATTCTTACTGAATATTTCTAATTGAATAAAAGCATGAATAAACTATGTATCTGCGTTCATTATTACAGGTAAAAAAGTTTCTTTACTTAAAAATCTGCTTTTTATGATGTTCGTGAAATTGGCAGCCTTGCAGCCTAGCAACCTGAAGTTGGCAGCCTAGCAGCCTAGCAGCCTGGCAGCCTAGCAGCCTAAAGAAAACTAAGAATAGTACAAGCATGAAAACCGTCAGAAATACATAAGTAGCACTTCTTTAGATCATTCCACGCCTTTTTCAATATCGTGATCTTAATTTTAAGATTTTGAACTTTATTGTAACATATTTTTTTCATTCTGACGTTCGATATTTGTGAAGTTAGCAGGATAGTACAAACATGAAAACCGTCGGAAATGAATCGGTAGCAAATACTTAGACCATTCCACGTCTTATTTCAGCATCGCGTACCTTATTTTTTTAAAATAATTATCTTTTTTTTTATTTTTACACTTCGAAATTTGTAAAGTTAGCAGCCAAGCAGCCTAGAAGCCTAAAGAAAACAAAGGATAATACAAACATGAAAACCGTCGGAAATGAGTCGGTAGGACATACTTAGACTATTCAACGTCTCTTTTCATTCCACGCAGTTTTCAATATCGTGATCTTTATTTTTTAAGATGTTGAACTTTATCGTAACATATTTTTTTCATTCATACTTAGATTATTCCACGTCTCTTTTCAGTATCGCGAACTTTATTATTTTTTTTAATATTTAACTCTTTTGTGACACTTCGAAATTTGAGAAGTAAGCAGCCTAACAGCCTAGCAGCCTGGCAGCCTAAAGAAAACAATCCCGCAAATTTCGAAGCGTCAGACTGAAAAATAAAATAAAGTTCAATATTTAAAAAAATAAAGATCGCGATACTGAAATAAAACGTGGAATGGTCTAAGGATGAGCTACCGATTCATTTCCGACGGTTTTCATGTTTGTATTATCCTTTGTTTTCTTTAGGCTGCTAGGCTGCCAGGCTGTTAGGCTGCCAGGCTGTTAGTCTGCCAGACTGTTAGGCTGCTAGTTTGCTAAATTCACAAATTTCGAAGTGTCAAAAAAAAGTTCAATATTTAAAAAAAAAGTACGCGGTACTGACAAAAAGATGTGGAATAGTCTAAGTATGTGCTACCGACTCATTTCTGACGGTTTTCATGTTTGTATTATCCTTAGTTTTCTTTAGGCTGCTAGGCTGCCAGACTGCTAGGCTGCCAAGCTGTTAACTTCACAATTTCGAACTATCAAAAAAAAAAAAAAAAAAAAAAAAAAAAAAACAAAGCTCAATATTTAAAAAAAAATAAAGTTCGCGATACTGAAAAAAGACGTGGAATAGTCAAAGTATATGCTATCGACTAATTTCCGACGGTTTTCGTGTTTATATTATCCTTAGTTTTCTTTAGGCTGCTAGGCTGCTAGGCTGCTAAGCTGCTAACTTCACAAATTTCGAAGTGTCAAAGTAAAAAAAAAGTTATTTTTAAAAAAACAATAAGTACGCGATACTGCAATAAGACGTGGAATGGTCTAAGTAATTGCTACCGATTCATTTCCGACGGTTTTCATGTTTGTACTATCCTGCTAGGCTGCTAACTTCACAAATTTCGAAGCGTCAGAATGAAAAAATTATGTTACGATAAAGTTCAACATCTTAAAAAATAAAGATCACGAGATTGAAAAATGCATAAATTGATCTAAAGAATTGCTACTAATGTATTTCCGACGGTTTTCATGTTCGTACTATTCTTAGTTTTCTTTAGGCTGCTAGGCTGCCAGGCTGCTAGGCTGCCAACTTCAGGCTGCTAGGCTGCTGGGCTGCCAACTTCAGACTGCTAGGCTGCCAACTTCACGAACATCTTTTTATGATAGTTTATGTACATATTGATAGCACCTATAGGGTGGTAAATTTTAAACATGAATATTCTTTTGTGAATTCAACACATATGTTTATTTTGTATTTACAAAGATACTATGTAGCCAAAAATATTTCTAAATATGAACTCAAACTCCTCACAGCGATTACGTCACGCTTTGAACAGTGAGCAGTAATAAATCTGTAGATGTGTTTTCTACAATTAAGCGTTAATTTCCATTATTTCATCACGCTAACATTTCTGTGTTGTAGGATGTAGACAAGATAAATATGTATAGGAATGTTTAGAATTGTGGGTTATTGATCGGCTGCAGCCGAGTCTACAAGACGCATATGTTTACTGCGGAATGACACGATTTATTTTGCGAGTCACTTATAAAAACCAAGAACCTAAAATATCACATACATCGGCTTTACACTTCAGGAACAATTTTAAAGTTCTTGTTTTCTTTGCAAACCATTTCTATTTACACAATGTTTTCTTATCTCAGTATACAAAATTTAATTCAACTGTTTGTTGTTTACCTATACTTAATATCATGGAACCAGGCTTAAAGTTAACACGTTGTCTCAACTCATAAAGGGAACTGTTTATCTTTTTATCCGCTGTTATATTGCATTGTATTAAAACATCTGATTGTTCCATTCTATCTATTTGTTGTATATCAGAAACTAGAAAACAAGTTCATTTCAAAAAACAAAATGAATGTATATATCTTTCAAATTTGTTTCTTTCCGAGATGATTTGGATAGTGTGGTGCGGACATAGTTCTGGCTTCCAAACTTTTATAGTCAGCTTTTAAATACTTAAGCGATAAAAGAATAATATTAGTGCGGACGTAATGGAATTTTCGTTTCGTAATGCTTCCCCTTTAGTTTCATAAACTGATTTCAGATCTTAACAAACAATCCTGAAAGTAACTTTTTTTTTCGTTTCTTGTAAAGTTATGCAGTGCACAGCTGACCAATCCTTCGCAGTCATTTCACGCGTGCATTTTTTGTGTGTTTATTTTGTGTATGTGTAGATTTAATTCCAATAAATTATGCTTTGGTTAAGGTAGTATACACCTAATGCATTACCTCCGCTTTGAATAGTATTCAAATAGGCTAGGATTACTGTCTGAGGGGCGTGGGTTCAAACCCCAGAATGGGCAATTTTTTTCTCTCTTCTTTTCAACATTGTTTATGTATCTCTCAGATCCCTTACTAAAAGAAAAAAGTGAATTTAATTAATATATAATAATTGTAGGTATTTATTGGCAATAAAACGCTAAATATCATAACAAATATGGTACCTGATATTTTCAAAGTGTAATAAAAATCAAAGCTAGACGGTAAAAGTATTTAATATTTAAAAAGATGAAACAATATACTTTTTAGAAAATTTAGGGAAACTTTGAAAACAGGTACTCATTTTGGTAAATTTTAGGCATACATTTATTTTAAATTAGGCCCTCTAAGTATGAAAATGGCCAAACACGTGTTAAAATGGGTGGGATAGAGTAACATTTTCATACATATTTCATAAATTTTGAGTAGAAACAATCATTTTGCTTATGTGTATTGTTAGCTGAATGTTGTTATTTGTTTCTTACCAAAAATTAATGGGAAAGCATTTTTCATTAGGATGATTTTATAAATTATTTAGAGTTCTTCATTTCTGAAAAAGAGCCCTTCTTATAAATTATTTAGAGTTCCTCATTTCTGATAAAGAGCCCTTTTAATAGCAAAGGTTTAGATCAGAAAAAATGTCCATTACTCATAAACTATGCGATAGATTTTGTTTACATTTTGCATAGAGGTTATTTTAAGGCATATAAAGGCCCTACGTTGTCAATTTTATAGTTTCTTTTAGTGCCCATTAGGGATATTCTACCTAAACATTAAAATGTATTTTAAATGATCTTGGCCAGAAATAAATCTAAAACAGGAAGCCTAGTGAGATAATATGGCGGACATGCTAGCCAAGGTGATAACTGATATTTAATCGTGCTATCCAGTACTATCTGATATGCATCAACCTATCACGAACGATGTGTCAAAGCTAAAATCAGAGCTTAAGGATGTACAAAAAATCATTAATTTCTATAAATTATTATCACTAACCTACTTTTTTTATTATATTCTTTACTTCATAACATATACCATGGATATACGTGTCGATAATTGGAATTGTTTTAAGTTCAATGGGCATAACTCTGAAAATGATTGCTCCATCGTACACAATACACTGTCCTAGATATTCTTA